TGAACAGCAAGATCTCATTAAAACGATAATGAGCAGGCTTGCATAATATTATACATGGTATTCTAATTGAGGAAAATCAAAGAAAATATGATGTTTTTGAGCAAAGAGAACTTTGTTCTAGAAAGTCTTTATAATGAAATAGACTTAGTGAAAGGTGCTCAAAATGAAATACAAATATAAAGTTGCTGCAGTTGCATGGTGAAGATTCAAGAGATAATGGCACTGAATCTGATTGCAATATTAGACTTATTAAACTATCCCTTTAAATTCAGTTGAACAATTATTTTCTTTAGTTCAAAGTCTAAATACTAAGCAAAGAACCTATCTGACACATTTGATGCACCAGTTAAAAACCAATCGCCCATTTTATGAGTTCATTGGCGGCGGTTCAGCTGCAGGATAGATTCGTTTGATATCTGCAATATATCAAGCTCTTAACTATCGTTACAATTCTACACCTGGATCCAATCCAAGTTCCTTAAAAGTTCTTCTTTGCGCACCTACGGGTAAAGCAGCATTCGGAATAGGTGGAATGACCCTTCATTCAATATTCTCATTACCTGTCATCAGTTGAATAGAGAGTTGAGGCCACTTAGCAATGACACAGTTAATTCATTGTAAATATTTCAGACTTAGCGATTTAAAATTAATCATAATTGATGAAATATCGATGGTAGGTGCTCGTATTTTTGCCTCGGGGCTTCGAGGACCCCTTCGGTGGCATACCGATCATAGTGTTTGGTAATTTGAAGCAACTCTCACCTGTTGGAGATAGCTGGATATTCTCTACTAATCCCAATGATGCATACATGACTTTAGTTGATTCCCCTTTGTGGGAGTTATTTAAATACTTTGAATTAACAGAAATAATGACACAACGGGAGGATCAGGCCTTTGCAATTGCATTAAACCATATGGTATCTGGTACTATGACAAATGAGGACACATCACTCATTGAAACTCGAGTAGTTAATTTCGAGGAAGTTGATGCCATACATTTATTTTGGTTCAATGAAGAGACTATTTTGGGAAGAGTTAAACTTTTCAGAGAATATAAACACCTATGATGGTTTCGTTAATGGGGCAGCTGGATAACTTATGCAAATTGATTTCCATTGTTCTTTTCCAACAATTCTGTGGATTAAATTTTTGGAACCTTCTGTTGGCTTGATAGCACGATCAAAAAAGCCTCATCCTCTACAAAGTTCTTGGACACAACAAATTTCAATAGAAAGAAATCAGTTTCTAGTTGTTCCGGCTGAAGGAATAACTATTCATAAAAGTCAGGGTGCTACATATAATAAAGTTGTAGTTCATACTCGACCCAGAATGCCTAGAGCTTCAATATATGTCGTTTTCAGTCGAGCTACTACTGCAGGAGACCTATTCATCATAGGAAATTTTATTCCTTCTAACAAATTTTCTGAATCGGATCCTGTATTTAGGGAACTTAGGAAATTGAACACAAATAAAGCTCTGACTACAAGATTAAATTTTATGATTTCCCGAACTTCAGTCCTTACTTCTGAGTTATGCAATTAAAATGTGCTAATTGTTGGATATTTTAACAATTGTTCTATGTCTACAGGGACTACAATAGGAAATCTGAATATCGTAAAAACAACTTTAGTTCCCAGCTTGGTGTAGAATATTCAACTAAACCTGCGGGTACACAAATGGATTGGGCATTTTCAAATATGAATCCTCCCCATGTTAATGCAATTACTTTTGAGACAGTACACAGCTATCATGAGAGTATTTGTGTCTCTATTTCGAACTAAAGTTTTCAGACTTATTGCAACAGTTCTTCATTTTTTTTTCATATATAATCGAATTAGAATGGCATAGCAATTTTGCCAATAGTTTTTACGACAATTTTAAGAAAAATAAGCAAATAATCTAATTAAGAAAATTTAAATTGTATGTATAATTTGTTATTATATAAGACATTATTGTATAAATGTATGATAGAAACTAAATAGTATAAGAAGAAAAGAAATATAATTTGGATATATGTATAAGAATCTCTATAAGAATTTATGTTTAATATTGTAAGTATTATATACAAACTAAAATAATAATATAATTTCTAAAGTTGTTAATATTTATTATTTTTAAGCAAAACATCTATTGGATAATAATATCGATATATATTAATAAATAAAAAATGTTATTCATTGTCCAAAACCGATTTATTTTCATACTCCTCAATACAGTTGTAATGCATTCTATATAAAATCAATTATAAACGTCTACAAAAAAGACAAGAACGATTTCGCATAATTTGAGTAAATTTAGTTTACAAATTGCTGTAATTAATTTCACTGTGAATGCTTATAACTAAGGCAACAGTTCCTACTTCTAGTTGTTAAAATATATAAAGAAATCTCAAACGAATATACCATTTGAATTTGCGAGAGTATAAAATGTGCGATTACATCCAAACTTAGCTCTTCCTTACTTGTTTTCCTTTAACTTTTGATGATCCTTGCAGAAGTACTGCTGTCAACGCGGAAGCACCTTTTTTCCGAGGGACTACCGGAAACGACGTCGTAATAACCGAGTTTTGAATATTTTTCTTTGAAAATTTCACAAAAGTCTTTATCAAATATGTATCTTAGGAATAATAAAAAATTTTAATAAAATATTTCATATTTCATATAAAAAAAATTATTAAAAATAGGACGTTTTTTGCTCGAAAAAACCCATGTAACCCATTGAAAGTGTGTTTTTTAGTTTTTTTTAACTTCAAGTATATTTATTATTCGTATTATACAATAAGAGATATTACGTATATAGAGAGTTTACCAGAAATAATTCAAGTAAACATAAGCAAATATTTACATATACATATGTAGGTCCGAGTATAAATTCGCTTGAAAAAATAAAGAAAATTGACGGGATAAAACAAACGAGTATCGCTTATATACCATAGTTTTTTTTTGTTTTCGTACAATCTCTCCAACAGTGAGAATATTATTGTAGATAAAATGCGATCAGTATGAATAAGTTTAATTCTATGGTGTTAGAATGTAAAATATGTTTGCCAGTAAATTTAAAAATCGATCGTTGATGGCCAGAAGGTATGTACATACTTACTATATGACTTTATAACTAATAACATATTAGAAATTTTCCACAAACCAATAAGGAAATATGGTGGTGAGGGAAGCAAGTCTATTAGAATTCTTATCTGAAAAAGCAACTAATAAAATATTTCAGTTCTTGGAAGAAGTCTTCAAATTTGTTTGAAACATCTCGGCATACATAACTTTGGCCAAGCATGGTTTTAAGCGTCAATTATATATGGTATACATATTATACATATGTATGTATATTTGTGCCTAAATGGTATATAAGTATCTAAGTGATGGGTATCTTACTCATTTAATTAAAGATTGTGAACAAGGTATTCATTCTTGGTTTTTTGGTACGTGGGAGGAGGAGAAAAATGTCTTTTGCGTCATCAGTGTGTCATCACCACAATGATATGTGCCACTTGTAGGTCACCAAAAAACTCTCATCTGGGAAAAATCTTTAGTATTTGTTCAGAGTGATGTTCCATAGTTATCGTCTTAAGACTAACATTTTCTATGAAATTCTTTACGTTCTTTCAGTTTTCCTTTCAGCCTCATTACTCGATCACATCGTTGTATAAACAAGACGGCTCTTTTAGCTTTTCCCTTTATTTTATTTCATAAAATTTACCGTGCTCGGATAAAATCTTCCTCGCCATGTTTCCTGCTGGACCACTAGTTTATATTATTGTTTAGCCTATCCGTCAATCTACAATAACGTTCCTGATCCCAACGAGTTTGCCATTGTTCCAAGGTTTCGTTCTTTATTTTCTCTTTTGTGGTGATCACACTTATTTCTTGTTTCTTCAACGTCCGCATGTTCTTTCTTTTAAATACTAAATGCATATGAGACCCCTTCGCCTTAAAATATACGGTATACCGATACTACCCTCAGAGCAGCTGTGCGATACACTTTTTCTAGGGCTTTACGTCGTTTATGGATTTGTGCCCAGTATGTAACCGATCGAGTCTAATTTTACAACCAGTTAATTGGCAATCGGCCTTATAATCTCTGCTGTTGCCGTCCTGTCTATTATAATAGGAATATGCTTCTGTTTTAGCAATGTCAGCTTGAGTTTTTCAGTGGCAAGTTTAAGACGTCGGACGTCAAGCCACTTTTGTGCCCTCCTGGGCGGATCTTAAGTGTCTCGCACTGTGTATTGAATAACGGTCTTGTCTTGCTTGTGTTGCTCTTATACAGTTCATAGACCAGAATGTCATACGGCTAACAGAATTACAAAAATACACGTATCTAGATTACATTTTTCATTGTGGAAGAACAAGAAATGTATCAGTTCCAAATATCAACTTGAAAGACACACTTGTTCTAAAAACTGGAATACTCTTTGCAAAAACTTATTGATAAATATGCATATATTAATTGATTGTAAAGCTCATTGTGGTACTCACCGTACCAAAACCAAATGAAGAGTACTGTATCGATGACGACCTTACTTATAGTATACCCTGTAGAAAGGATGAGCTCAGGAAGCTGTTCGTCATTTAATACCGCCCCGAATAGGTGGAGGAAAGTAATTATATCTTTACAGAGGGTTTATATGAAACATAAAAAACATTGCTTCTGAACATGAGCTTGAAACTTCAATGATTATTCAAGATCACGAATAAAATGTCTTAAAACCGATGTTTTAACTTAATGACCGCAGCCTGAAAATATGTACTTTTAAACCAGTCTATTAAAGTTATCTTCGAACGATTCCGCAGAGTAATCCACTTTACGTAATATTATTTTACCAGCCCAGAAAATAAAAAATGCTGGAGTTTTTGCCACCTAACAACAATTCACAAACTTAACTTATACAAAGTCAATTAAGTAGTTGAAAAGCATTCACCCACATGTAGATACGTTACTAGTTGCCCATTTTGAACTAATTTAATTTAATTTTAATTTTCTACTTTCAGCTTGTCGGGTCACCATCAGGCAGTATGGCGGAACTGGTCAAGTGATGAATGTATAAAACTCATTACCGTAGAACCAATGACCAAGCCCAATCATGCATATCGGAGTGCAGAATCTAATTAATATTGTCGGTCAGTGCATCACATATGCAAACAACAATAACAAGAACAAAAAGAACGTCAAGCACGAGCGCGCCGCTAAGAGTATATCGAGTGTACTTTAAATACACCACTCCGACACTGTGTTGCCTGCCGAGCCAACGGAACTTGGTACACGGATAACACCTAAGGCTGATGCAGGATGCAATGATCAATACGGTACGGCTACTACTTCTGTTAAGTGCCGCACAAATTAGCCCGTTAAAGGGACTGGCGGTATAAATGAACTTCGGAATGGGCTTTCGGTCGCGTATTTTACGCGAGAAGTGAATTGTTTATAGAAAAATCGCATTCAATTGATTAGCAGCATTCAATGAAATCTTATAAGACATTTTCTTCGCGACGTAAGCGGTGGCGTAATTTATATTTGAAATTTGTCTAACGGTTCAAAGAAGAACGGTCAGTTTAACCTCATTGGGAATCAGCCGGCTGATTTACTGAGCGTGCACACTTAAATAACAGCAAAAACAATTAGGTAACAGCAAGTGTGTCGTTGGCGGAAAAATGGTATCGTTGGCGGAAATTAACACCACAGGGGCAATGACGCCCCTGACGCCGAAACTAGTCTTCCGGCTGTACGGTGTCATTGTCGGCGGTGATGACGATGACATCGTTATAAATGGCAGTGGTGATGGTCAAAACGACGAAGGAGAAAGGGTTATTAAGGACCCTTGGAACTCAAACTCTATTAACATCCAAGCGACGAATGTGACCTCAATGAACTCGCCTTCGATGACCCACCACAACACCACATTCACCGATAATGCCAACAATATGTCCTATACATGGCCATCTGCAACGGATGAATCGTACAGTGACTTGGATTTCCAGTTATCTTCTGTATTTGTTGGTTATAATTCAACGCTGCCTACAGATAGGAAAGCAGTGGACGGAAATGGAATTGGAAATGAAGGTGGGTGGTTAGTTGATGGTAGCTATGATACCACTGAGGGTGCACTTGATAATTGCACTACACCAACAAACGGTTTGTTAGATATTGCCTTTACGACAACGGAAAAGAGTCTCGTTCCTGTTGGTGAGAGCGGGGATGATATCAACTTTGCTTTGATCGATAGTGCGGAAACCGCTATGGGCGGCGACAATGATTACGAAACAGTAGAGGGTTTTAATGGTGGCGGTAACGTTGATGAAGTTGGTCGCCTGTCGGGCGAGGGTACTGATTTTATTCGACATTCGAGCGCATTAGATAGTTTCGGCTCGAGAAGAAACGAATCATATTATCCGAGTTTCGATGGCGGCGGGACGAGCGTGTCGACCGTGGGAAAGGGTGTAACTGGTGGCGCGGCGGATAAGAGTGGTAGTTCATTTATGCTGTTGCTTGAAGACTTTGGTGATTATTTTTTTAATTTTAATGGAACTGGCAGCGGGGGCGGTGATGGTGTCGCGATTTCGGATACACAGTCTACAATAAGCTCTTTAAATGTGACCGACTTAATTACACGAACTAATTGCTCAAACATAACGGATTTGTGTGTTGTGCCAAATGATGACGGTAAGCGAATCCCTATTATAAATATGTATACACGTAGGTTAATTGTTTATTATTTGACATTTAGAAAATTTCTACCGATTTGTGGACTTACCTGGGTCCGTTATTTCTGTTTATAAATATGCGGAGCCTATGCTGCACACTTTTGGCATAAGCGTATGGATTACCCAGATATATACAGTTTAAGTCGTTTTCCTGACCATTCATTTGCCGGTTGCCAGTTTTATAATTGGAATATTTTGGATTAAATATCAGATTTTCAATTTTAATCTAAAATTCGGGCTTAAAAATTAAATTTTTTCTCTGATATCGGGTATTCAATAAAAAATTTAGAAAATATTCTTTTATTTATAAATTGGAGTAACAAATAAAAAATATAATCATAATAAAAGCTGAAATGCAAAATACGCTGTTTAGAAATTTGAAAGTTGTTATTTTCAAATTAGATTTAGATTATTTGAAACTGTGAAACTCTGATAGTCAGTGTAGTCTTTTTTTCGTTCATGACATCACGAATCAAGGTGTTTTTCTATTGAACAAGGTATTTTTATAGTAAACACTCCAAAAGTAGTAACGGACAATCGTAATCTCTATTTTTCATTCTTATGCCGCCCTTTTACTATCGTGTCTAACGCTAACGAGTGTCAACGGTAAACATTACCAAGTAAGAGTCACGGTTTTTTAACTTTTTCTCATTATCTCATAATTTACGGAAACGATGAAAAGTTTTTACGTTTGACGCATCTATTTAAGGGCGACTGTTATAGCTTGATTTTATTTCATAAAATCTTACGTATTTTTTATGCTTTCTCGATTTACAGTTCCTCCGAATTATTGGGCGCTTACCTTGATGGTGTTTCCTTTGCTGACACTGTTCGGCAATATCTTAGTGATCCTTTCAGTGTGTCGCGAACGATCCTTACAAACGGTTACGAATTATTTTATCGTGTCTTTGGCAATAGCCGATCTACTAGTTGCTGTCGTGGTGATGCCGTTTGCGGTTTATGTTTTGGTAAGTATTATAATTTTTACGTAAATGTGATGTCACATAATTTAATTCTAAACCCACTTTGGAATAAGTTTTCATTTTATTCCGACACTCAAGTGCTTTGATATATTTATACCCTGATCAAGTTTGAAACACCCAGAAGGAAATGTCGGAGACCCTATAAAATATATTATATATTGTATATAAATGATCAGTATGATGAGATGAGTTGGTTTAGCCATGTCCGTCTGTCTGACTGTATATATACGAACTAGTCAATCAGGTTTTAAGCTATCCATCTAAAATTGTGCACCTATCCTTTCCTCACGGATAACGGACCACTATAGCATATAGCTGCCATACAATCTGAACAACTAGAATTAAGTGTTGTATGGGAAACTTTTTAATTATACTCTCGCAACATGTTGCTACAGAGTATAATAGTTTTGTTCACCTAACGGTTTTTTGTATCACCTAAAACTAATCGAGTTAGATATAGGGTTTTATATTTATAAATGATCACGATGAAAAGACGAATTTAAATCCTGGGGAATGTCTGTCTATTCGTCCGTCCGTCTGAGCAAGTTGTAACTTGGATAAAAATATCTTTATGAAACTTGGTTGATATTGTAGATGGGCGTAATCGGCCCACTGCCACGCCTACAAAACGCCATGAATTAAAAACAAATAAATTGCCATAACTAAGCTCGACAATAAGATACAATACTGTTATTTGGACACAGGATCACATTAGGAAGGGGCATCTGCAGTTTTAAAAGTGAGCGCGGTCCCGCACCCTAATAGGTTTAATGTGCATATCTCCTAAACCGCAAAAGTTATAATAACAAAACTCACTGAGAACAAATGTTTTTAGCACCTCTATCGACAGTGTGAAAATGGATGAAATCGGCAACTTCGCCCACTCCCCATATAAAAGTACTGTTAAAAACTACTAAAACCGTGGAACCGCCAACTTTGCTTAAACTGGATCTGCTTAACAGATTTCAACCAAATTCGGTACATAACATTGTTCTTATATTTCTATGTTATAGTGCGCCTATTTCCCATGTAACACCATTTTAAATTCCATCTGATTATTTCACTTTCCACTATGCAAATCAAGCAACAATGATTGTATCGGCTTAAAACTATGCGTGAACAATGCGTTTAAATATTCCACTTTGAGACCAAAAATTGTATAAATTGAACTAAACGGTTCAAGCCCCTAGGTACTGAATATGTGGACCCCAGTGCCTGTAGTTAACTTTTTACCGAAAATATCGGTCAATGTGTAAGATATATAGTTTAAGTTCATGTAATCAAATAAATAAATGAAACTCTCGATAATGGTGTGTCTTTGTGTCAAAAATGGGTTGAATCCGATCTATACTTCCTTTAATTTAAAATTTTGCCAACACCTGAAGTAATTTCCCGGGCTTGGATGCTTGCAAGTTGCGAGAGTATAAAATGTTCGGTTACACCCGAACTTAGAACCTCCTTACTTGTTTGTCCTAATATCACGAACTTTGGCATGAGTTATTTCTTAAGGCAACAATTTAATTTGCGAAGAAATTGTATAGATCGGATATATATTTGATATAGCCGCCATACAAACTGAACGATCGGAATCAAGTTCTTGTAAGGAACCTTTTGTATTTGTGGAGGATATTATAGATTCGGTGCAACCGAAGTTAACGTTTTTCCCTATTTTAATATTACTAGCTATTAGACCCAACATACGAGTATTGCTCAAATCTTCGCAAAATATAATTTTATTCATTGAGTAAACAAAATAACCAAACAAAAAGTATTTTGTAATCAGATAACTAAAGGAATGTCAATTTTACCGCAATTACATTTGACATTAGTATATGACAGATGATTGTTTCAAACAAGAATATTGCGATCAACTCCAAAAAGTCTCCATTCGATAGGCAACGGAAAAATATCGATACTATTTGCATATCGCTACTTAAGCTTAAATAATTTACTTACTACGAAGCTATTTGAAAATGTAAGGCAGCGGCGTAAGTAGAAATAAATTTCAATGGGTTTTCTGTTCAAATTTTGCATCATAAAATATAAAAATATTATTTATTAACAAATTTTTGCTCTTGCATATAAACCTAAACCCTCCTTTGCGTACGCTCCTGATGTGAGGTGTCGAACTTATGATGTCGAAGTACAAAGCGTAAGCAATGAATGTTATGAGAAGTTCTCAATGCGAAAGTATTGGATGGTGTTCCATTGGAACTTAACACTGAGAGGATAATGATTTTGAAATTAATATAATATTATGTTTGTACTAAAATACTGGTCATATAAACTTATGAACAATTTAGAGGCAATCTCAAAAGTGTATGCACAGAATGAGAATTTTTAGTATTAACCGTTATTAATTTATGAATGAAGAAAGTGATTTCACAGATTTCTAGTTGTGAGTCCTTCGTTTTGTGAGTTCAATACCGTTGAGATATATTTCGGAAGAAACAATATTGGTAGGATAACCAAAATAATACATTTTGGGACGAAACATGTATACCATATTAACATAATTAGGAATGCTTAGTCATAAATGAACATCTGCAAATGTACATATACAGTGAATTTAAAAGTGTTCACGTAATGCACATTTAAATTTCATCCAAATATGACATTACATGAGTAAAAACTGAACCTCATTTTACGAAATGCTGTATTTTCGGACTTGCAGGACTTAATCGTATTAATTCAGATGGACGCATTTGGACATGGTATGACAAGCGATGCGGTCCCACGGATAGAAATATGCTGCGCAAGCGGAGGTGGTACTTTTATGGTGTGGGGTTGTTTCTGTGGCGGAAAGGTTGAAAACTGCGTCGAATCAATAGAATAATGGCTACGGACTATATTAACATTCTGAAGGTTTTACTTATTTCTAGCGTTGAAATTTTTGGATGCGAACCCGGTGATTTGTTATACATGACTATGATTAAAAACATACCGCCAGCCCTAAAAAATCTTGGTTGGAAAATAACGGAAATAGATAATTTAATTAATTCTATGCCTGATCGTAGCTAAAAGAGGCCCCATAAGTTATTAACTATTGAACATCAATCGCCACTTTACCTCCAAGTTCAAATATTGATCACATGAATTGTATTACTTAATATGTACTATAGCCACCAGAGATTATTATATTATATGAAGTGAAAATTTCATTTGAATGTTTATTTTTCTAAGGAGCAGCTGCAATGCGCATTTTTTTTTTTACTATATGTGAACACTTTTTGAACTCACTGTATGTATGAACACTGTAACATAAGTATATATGTATTACTTATGCACATATATAGATATATATTTGCAAGACCACTAACACTTCTCTCTGAACTTTGATTTATGTGCGTTAAGTTTAAGTATTTTGTCAGTTGATTTTTAATGAATTCAGGGAAAATAATGCAAATTTTTACTTTATTTTTGTCTTTGTGATGGTTATTGCTATTGTTCTTTTATGGTCTGTTGTTACTGTCATTTACAACTTTGTCATCAGGACTATTGCTATACTTTGAAGTCATGAATGGTATCTGGTGCTATATTATCGTACTCCTCTGCTTCCATATGTTTGCAACTGCAGACGATAAAGAGAGAGGAAGGAATTGTAATTGTGTACAATTGACTTATGCAGTAAGATTCGCACCATGTTAAAGCCTCGCCTTGAACTCCTTTCCCACATAAACAGCGAAATGTGTTGAATAAAAGATATTACAGATAAATTTAAAATATATATTATATTTATGTTCTTGGATGCATGTACATATGATAAATTTGTTTACAGAGCACCTATGGAAAATTGTTAGACTCTTTGGATGAACTTTCATAAATCTGTAATATATACTCTTTGGAAATGTTTAACTGAAATACGAATACGGTGCGTTCCCGATTGCAATCACGACCGCAGTGTTGCAAATTTGTCAAAATATTACGTTCTGCGTGAAATTCCAGCAACACTTGCATCAACATCACGTTCCATTGTCACTTTTTGCACGCAATTTATGCAAATAATCGGCAACAGTAAATTTTTGTCTGAACATCAGCAAAGTATCAGCAAATATACAACACACTTGCTGTACTGCTGCAATTATTACGTAGCTTGAACGCACCCAAACCAATATTTTATTAAATAGGTTTGTGTTAAATGTTTTCATAACATATCAAGTTTTGCTTGTCTTTAAAATCTGTCCTTTTCAATACTGTAGAAGATGCCAAGAAGAGACTGTATAACATCTTGGTGGGAATGCAAGTCTTTGTATAGGAAAATAATCGCAACTATTGGTTGTGGGTTTTTTGGTGATGTATCGGAAGTTTTACATATACAACCTTTTGAATTGATGAGCTTTATAAGGAGCTCATGATGGTTCAGAGAAGACATAATAAAGTGAGTGATCGGAAGTTTCACATATACAACCTTTTGAATTGATGAGCTTTATAAGGAGCCTACCTAAATCATTTGAAAATGTATGGCGTCTTATAAAAGTTGTATGGAAACATTCATATCGAGGAAATGGATCATTTTAGGACGACAAACTCACATTAATAAATTTAGAAGTAAAATAACACTAATCACGACAAAAAATAATCACTTTGTAAGCACTTGTCTTTTTCGTCGCAAGACAAACCAACTGGATGAATAATAATGGCATTTATCTTGTAGAGTTAAGGGTGTATTGAAGATGTTTCGAAAATATACTTATATGTAGTACGTCAGAAGGTGTTCGGTTTCTTGAGAAATATAAGCTGATAAATACATACATGGAATTTAATAACTTAAAATGTTACCACTTATTAACCTGAACTTCTGCTTTATTTTGCAAAATTAAAAATGACCCTATTTTTCAAAATCGTACTGTTATCTTTTTGCAACTTATTTCACGAAACTATGCAGAACTCTCTTCATTTTACGAGATAACATACCATACATATAGTCGATATAATATTTTCTGAATGATAATACAGTTTATATCAAATTTTAGAAAGTAGTCCCG